TCTATCTATCTATCTGTCTATCTATCTCTATCTATCTATCTATCTATCTATCTATCTATCTATCTATCTATCTATCTATCTATCTATCTCTATCTGTGTGTCTCTCTCTGAATGTCTTCCTCATGTCACTCTCCCCCAGTCTCTCACTCCCTCTCAAGTCCTACAGTTGTGGCACCATGTGCAGTCAATTACCCTATCGGTTGCCTCTCAGCACCACTCAAAACTTGACTGCACAAAGACCCCAACACCGCTTCCATGACAGGCTCGAATGCAAATTGTGTTATCGCTTGGCTGCTGCTGGACTTTTGTTCTTGCCTCTGGTTCCCGAACTTTTTCAGACTGCTACCGGATCGTTACCCTGGCTTGCCAGCCGTGACTGTTTTTTTATGCATCCGGAAGCTACTGGACTTTCCTGGGGCTGAGCTGCTGGCTTCGACTGGACTCACGGGCCTACTAAACCGACAGACTGACTGGACCTACCCAATCTCCTATACCTACCGACCTACCAGGCCTATGGACTTGCCCTAGGACAGCCCTACAGTGCACCAGTTGGGTCTACGGTACATGGGACTCCTAGGACTTTGGGACGGAACCGGGACTTAGACACTGACACGCATGAAATCCTTTCAATGCATCAATGATAACAGAGAATAAAAAGCAAAGGGTTAAAGAATGCAAGAACCATAGCCCAGGAAATACCTAGCATCCACTAAGCAAGCACACCAACGTTCTCTCTCCCCAATAACCTTTGACCACCACATAAATAACAACAAGCTTTTCAGTCAAGATTGGCCTATATTGTGGTTGTTTCAACACTTCTGTTAGTCTTTCACAACAGTTTGTTCATCATCTTTCCTCTCCCTTTTATCACAGAGGTCAAGGGCAAACCAATCTGACAACGATTGAACTCTGGATGTTCCCAGACCTCCCTTCCACCAGTGCCAACTCACAGCTTGGAGAGGATTAGCCAAGTCAATCTTTCAGAAAAAACATGCTCACCAATGTCCACTGACTGTGCATTTTCAATGCCATCACCAGTGGAACCTGGCCCTTACTCTATAGCTGGCAAGTCATCTGCCATAGCCAACGAGGTGCTCTGCCATATCTGGGAACTCTCCCACCTCCTTGTCAGAACTACTCGTAGTAGTTCCAGCACCCACTGATATCAGGCAGTGTACGAACAGCATCATGAGGCTATAAGTGACGCAGCCTCCAAGTGGCAATATGACCCCCCCCCTCTCTCTCTCTCTCTCTCTCTCTCTCTCTCTCTCTCTCTCTCTCTCTCTCTCTCTCTCTCTCTCTCTCTCTCTCTCTC